TATATGTGTGTGTGTGTGTGTGTGTGTGTGTGGTGTGTGTGTGTGTGTGTGTGTGTGTGTGTGTGTGGTGTGTTGTGTGTGTGTGTGTGGTGGTGTATATATATATATATATATATATATATTATATATATTATATATATATGATATATTATATATATATATATATATATATATATATATATATATATATATATATATATATTATATATAATACACACACTGCTCTCCCACTTCCCCACAGGCCGGCTGTGGCGGGGAAATCCTGCGCCGTGGCTTGCCCTTCTGTGCCAGCGACAAGGACAATAACCACGTGGGTTTTTTGTGTATTTTCAAAAATCTAATTTATCTGTCCGATTTGAATGAATACTATATAATTCTCTTCTGTTTTTTTTTTTTTTTTTTTTTTTTTTTTTTCCCTCTTATGATCATTTAGAGAATTGTCAGTTTGTTATTCTATTTTTTTTCTTTCTTTTACCCCACTTAAGGCATGGGCAGCTGCTCACGAGGTCGCTGTCATCACGCCTGTCTGTACATTACCGGTGGCAATTTTCTTCACCATAAACCCCCGCGCTTTTATTCTCACGGTTTAGTGTCGCCTGGAAAGCCGCGTCGAGAGAGAGATAGAGGGATTAGGGGTAAGAGAAGAGAAGAGGTAAAGAAATAGAGAGAGAGAGGAGAGAGAGGAGAAGGAGAGGAGAGGAGAGTGAGGAGAGAGGAGAGAGAGAGAGAGAGGGGAGAGGTGAGAAGAGGGAGAAGATTGTAGAGAGAACCGAGGTGAATCGACGTGAGGGAGATGATGAGATGCCCGGAATATTAAAAAATGCAAAATATAAATAGAGATGGAACCTAAAAATATATTAAAGAGAGAGAGCGAACACGCCGAGAGGGAAAAATGATATTATTAAAGAGAGAGAGGGGAGGAGAAGAAGAGGGAGAGAGAAGAGAGGGGAGAGGATGAGGGAGAGAGGAAGACGAGAGATTGAGAGAGAGAGAGAGAGGAGGGAGGAGGACGAGAAAGAGAGAGGGAGAGAAGAGAGAGAGAGAGAGGGAGATCGAGAGAAGAAGAGAGAGGAGAGGAGAGAGAGAGAGAGAGAGAAAAGTAAAGAAAAAGAGAGGGAGAGAAGGGAAGCGAGAGGGGAGGAAGAGGTGCCGGACGGTGAGAGGGACGGAGAGGGAGACAGAGAGAAGAGAAGGAGAAGGTCAAAGAGAGAGAGAGAGAAGGGTAAGAAAGGGGAAGCGAGAGTGAGAGAGGGAGAGAGAGGAGAGAGGGGAGAGAGGAGAAGGATAGAGAGGAAGAGAGGGAGAGGAGGAACGAGAGAGGAGAGGAGAGGGAGAGAGGCGAGAGAGAGGAGGGAGAGAGGGAGAGAGGAGAGGAGAGAGGAGACGAGGAGGAGAAAGAGGGAGGGAGAGAAGTGAGATGAGAGAGAGAAAGAGAGAGAGAGAGAGAGAGGAGAGAAAGATGGAAGAGAGAGACGGAGAGAGAGAGAAAGGGGCTGGAGAGAGGAGAGAAGAAGAGAGAGAGTGAGAGAGATGAGAGAGAGACAGAAGGAGAGAGAGAGAGAGAGAGAGAACAGAGAGGGAGAGAGGAGAGAGACGGAGAGAGAGGAGAAAGATTAGAGGGAGAGAGATGATAGAGGGAGAGAGAGATAGAGGCGAGAGAGATAGAAGAGAGAGAAAGAGGGTGGGAGGAGAGATAGAGGAGAGAAAAGAGGGAGAGAGATAAGGGAGAGAACGAAGGGAGAGAGATAGAGGGGAGAAAAGGAAAGAGGGAGAGAGATTAGAGGACGAAAAGAGGGAAGAGATAGAGGGAGAGAAAGGAGTGAGAGAGAACAGGAAGAAGAGAGAGAGAGAGAGAGGGAGGAGGAGAGGAAAGAGAAGAGGGGTAGAGAGAGAGCGAGGAAGAGAGACGAGGTCGAGTGAGAGAGTACGACGAGGAGAGAGAGAGAGGCGGAGAGGAGAGAGAGGAGAGAGAGAGAGTAATGGAGAGAGAGAATGGTGAGATAGAAACGAGAGGGAGAGAGAGAGAGAAGAGAGAGAGAGAGAGAGAGAAGGGAAGAAGGGAGAGAGGAGAGGGAGGAGGAGAGAGAGAGAGAGAGAAGAGACGCGGAGAGAGAGGGAAGGAGAGAGAGGGAGGGAGGATTGAGACAACAGAGAGGAGCAGCGAGAGAGTAGAGGAGAGAGAGAGGGACGAGGAGAGAGAGGAGAGAGACTAGAGGGGGGAGAGAGAAGAGCGGAGAGAGAGAGGGAGAGAGAGAGAGAATGATGGAGAGAGAGAGAGAGAGAGAGAGAGAGAGAGAAGCGAGAGACGAGAGAGAGGAGAGAGAGAGAGAAGAGAGAGAGAGAGAGACAGAGAGAGAGAGAAAGAGAGAGAGAGAGAGAGAGAGAGAGAGAGAGAGAGAGAGAGAGAGCGATGAGACCGAGAGAAGAGAGAGAGAGAGGCAGAAGAGAGAGAGAGAGAGAGAGAGAGAGAGAGAGTGAATGAGACATATATATAGAGAGAAAATAAGAAGACCGAAAGTTAGAAAGAGAAAAGGAGAAAATAAGTAAGAGAGAGAGAAAGAAAGATAGAAAAAGTAAGAAAGAAAGACAGAGAAAGAGATAGATATATAGATAGAGATAGATAGATAGAGAAGGTAAGAAAGAGAGATAAAGAAAAATAGAGAAAGTAAGAAAGAGAGATAGATGGATAGACAGATAGATAGATAGAGAGACAGAGAGAGAGAGAGAAAAAAAAAAGCGAAATAGTTACTACATCTCCCAATTCCAGAATCGTATACCCTCGCTGCCAAAGCCCCAAGTAACGTGCCCTTGTCTCCCCCGTGGCCGCAGGTGGTTAGCGCCGTGGCCTCCTATTTCATCGTCATCCTTCAGTTCATGAACACGTGCCAGGAGGACGCCAAGTACAACACTTCGCACGTCGGCTGAGGAGAGAGGAGAGGCGGAGAAAAGGGCAGGAGGAGGGAAAGGGGAGGAAAGAGGAAGATGGGAAAGAGGAGAGAAAAGGAAGAAAAGGGGAGAAGGGTATGAGGGTGAGGGGTAAGGGGAAGGGGCGAAATAGTGAGAAGGGCAGGGAGGAGGGAAAAGAGGGTGTAAGGAGGAAATGGGAAAGAGGGAGGAAAGAAAGGAAGGAAAGGGGAGGAAGGTGGAGGATGGGAGGGGTAAGGGAAGGGGAAAAGAGGTGGAGAAAGGGCAGGGAGGAGGGAAAGGGAAGGGTAAGGAGGAAGATGGGAAAGAGGGAGGAAAGAAAAAGGAAGGAAAGGGGAGAAGGTTGGAGGAGGTGAGGGTAGGAAGCAGGAGGAGGAAAGGGAGGGTAAGGAGGAAGATGGAAAGAGGAGAAAGAGGAAGGAGGGGAGAAGGGGTGAGGAAGGTGAGGGGTAAGGGAAGGGGAAAGAGGTGGAGAAAGGGCAGGGGAGGAAAGAAAGGGTAGAGGAAGGGGAAAGAGGGAGGAAGAAAAGGAAGGAAAAGGGGAGAAGGGTGAGGAGGTGAGGGGTAAGGGGAAGGGGAAAGAGGTGGAGAAAGGGCAGGGAGGAGGGAAAGGGGAGGGGTAAGGAGGAAGATGGGAAAGAGGGAGGAAAGAAAAGGAAGGAAAGGGGAGAAGGGGTGGAGGAGGTGAGGGGTAAGGGGAAGGGGAAATAGGTGGAGAAAGGGCAGGGAGGAGGGAAAGGGGAGGGGTAAGGAGGAAGATGGGAAAGAGGGAGGAAAGAAAAGGAAGGAAAGGGGAGAAGGTGGAGGGGTGAGGGGTAAAGGGAAGGGGAAAGGGTGGAGAAAGGGCAGGGAGGAGGGAAAAGCAGGGGTAAGGAGGAGATGGAAGGAAAAGGGAAAAAAGGTGTTAGAAGAGAAAGGGAGGGAAAGGGAGGAGAGGTGGAGGAGGTGAGGGTAAGGGGAAAGGGGAAGAGGTGGAAAGGGAGGTAAGGAGAAGTAGTGAAGAGGGGAATGAGGGTTCGGAGGAAGGAAAGGGGGAAAGGAGGTGGAGAAGAGGAAAGGGGAGGGAATGGGGAGAAGAGGAGGAGGAGAGGAAGGGTAAGGGGAAGGGGGAAGAGGGACAGGAGGAGGGAGAGGGGGAGGGAAAGGGGAGAAGAGGTGGAGGAAGAGAAGGGACAGGAAGAGTTAAAGGGGAAGGGGAAGAAGTGTAGGAGAGGAAAGGGGAGTGAATAAAGGTGGAAGAGGACAGGGAAAAAGGCAGGGGGAGGGCCAAGGGGAGAGCTGGGAAGAGGGGCAGGAGGAGGGAGAAAAGGTGGAGGAGGGGAGGGAGAGGGACAGAAGGAGGGGCAAGGGGAAGGGGAAGAAGGGAACAAAATGAAGGAGGGACAGTAACAGGAATACGAGGAAAAGAAGGGAACAGGAAGGGGAGGAATGGTAGAAATAAAAGAAGAGGAAGTGGAGGACGAGGAGACGGAAAAGGAGGTTAGAAGAGGGAATGGATTATTGAAAACAAACAAACAACAAATAGACAGACAAAGAAGAAAATGCGTTTGTGCCTTGATATACTAGTAAAAAAGAATAATAAAATCCTTACCTATATATACAGTAGATATACTCACACACTCACACACACACACACACACACACACACACACACACACACACACACACACACACACACACACACACACACACACACACACACACACACAACACACACACTCACACACTCACATACACACACACATACACACACACACGCACACACACACGCTCACACACTCACACACACACACACACACATATATAAAAATGTGTATATACATATATACATATATATCAAATTTAGGAGACTGAGAAAGAACAAATGTATGCGTATTATGGTGTCAAAAAGGATAACGTTGTCAATCATAAAAGTACCTTTATCACAGTGTGCATTCCATATAAAACGAGAACAGGTATAAGTAAACAAAGAAAATAATAAAAAAAAAAATCATATATATATTTGACCAAAGACATCATCAACTAAACATGCATATCACGTAAAATTCTCACATATTGATTGTTCTATTTACACC